AAGCCCTCCTCCACTGTGGGGATGCCGGGTACATTGAGTGCAACAGCTGCTACTGTTTTCAGTAGGAGCGGTTTCGGACAGTGGCTCCGGGCGCATAGAAGGAGGCATGGCTTGTCTGGCAGAAGTGTGGTCGCACGGAACTTGCTTAGCGGACTCATAAGAGGGTCGTGGCGCAGCTCACATGGGCTGCCTACGTCAAGGTTTGGCAAGAATGGACCGCTGCGATGGTTTGTGCAGGGGGCCATGACTCGGCAGCGGCATGGTTCGACACCCTTTTATGGTTTATTTGTAGGCTACTTGCGTCAGGGGCATGATGGGTGGATGATATCACCAAAGATTTTCTTGTGCATCAGGCTATTAAGGGGTTTCAGAAAGGAAGGTCATTGCAGGATTTGCGCAGGCCGGTGTCCTTTGAAATTCTGCAGGGTTTACTCCGTGTGCTTGTGGGGGTTTGTTTCTCAGAGTACAAGGTTCTGTTGTTTTCAGTAGCATTTAGTTGGGACTTCTTTGGGGCATTTAGGTTTAGTGAGTTGGTGGGCAACAACCGCTTGTGCAGGGATGAGTTACAGTGTTCGGAGGTCAAACTTTGGCAGAATAGGGTAGTGATTCATCTACGCCATTCTAAAACAAATGTCTTTTGCAAAGGGACCGCGGTTACGCTTTTTTCGGTGCTGGGATTGGCAACGTGTCCAGTGGCGTATTTGTTGGCTTTTCAGGTGGTCCATTCGAGGGTGGCGAGTTTGTTTTTGATGCATGATGATGGTTCTTCTTTGTCTAAGTTTTAGTTCCTAAGTGTCTTCCGGTTAGCCTTGGGGCATTTGGTTTGGGTTCGTTGCAGTTTGGGACGCACTCATTCAGGATTGGGGCCATGACAGAGGCATCTCGGTTAGGCTTAGACCTAGTCAAGAAGATTGGGAGGTGGGAATCAGTAAGATTCAAGTCATATGTGAGACCAATCCAGTTGGTTTAAGCATGGGTTTGAAATGGTTATGTCTGTTCTCTGTTGGTAACATGTTTTTCTCCCGCAGGTTGGAGTGCTTGGGTGATGGAACACTCGTATGTGTGCTGGGCACAACAGAGTTTATCATCAAGGCATGAGGCTAGGCTTTCCGCGCTTGTTGGTGCAAATTGAGTGGTTTGTATTTCGGGGTTTCAGTTAGCAAGGGGTTTGTTTCGAGCTTTATAAGAGGATTAGTAGGGGAAAAGTGCCTAACATAGTCTTGTTTTATGCTGGGGTGAATGATTTAAGTCTGGTTTCCCAAAGGGACTTAATCGCCAGGATGAAAAAGGATTTGGAAAAGCTGAAGCAGATGGTCCCTGACGTGATCGTCATATGGTCAGAGATGATACTGCGTTTGCAATGGCACCACACTAAGGATCTCAAGGCAGTGGCCAAGAGCAGGGGAAAGGTGAATAAACTGATGGCAAATTATGTTAGGCGTTTCGGTGGTGTAGTTGTCAGGCCTAGGGATTTGGAAGCTCAGTTGCAGGGTTATTATAGGCAGGATGATGTACAACTTTCAGAGGTGGGCATGGAATTTTTGTTGTTAGGGTTTCAAGAAGGTTTACAAAGAGTGTTGTTTTTGGCGGGGGGTAGTTCGAGGTGTTTTGAGCTCTTAGCTATGGTTGGGGATGGATAGATAAGTTATAGGTATAGGTTGTTTGTCCTGAAGTAAAATACTTTAGTTTGCTAAGAACATATAGGTTTAAAACGGTATTGGTAGGTTCGAGCTCGTTGGTAGCTCTGAATCTGGTGTGTTTGGGTGTATCTTGGTATACCCCTACATGGAAAAACCTGGGAAATCATGCCCTCGTGGCAATGGTTATGTTTATATGTTAGTTATATGTTATAATGTGTTTTTACTTATTGTGATGTGGGTCATTGTCTGGGGTAGTATTTTTAAAGGAGTGTTGGGGTGTCATGTTAGGTTTAATATGTGGACAATGACATTTAAAACCCTTTAAGTACTATTTATATTATCAAAAAGCTGTGATAATTTTCCCAAATGAAGGTGTCTGGGTATCTTTTGGGGTTTTGGGGTTTGTTAACCATATTCCGGAAAAGGCGATTATGCATATGTCAAGACATTTACAGCATCTGCAGGGTTATCAGTCAAGCACTACATATCTACTACGAATGTCCATCTGTCAAGAGTACAGCTTGTAGAACAAAAATTTAAAATCAGTAAAGCAATTCTTGCTACATGTGCTCCAAAGACATACCTCTCACCATTTTAAATGGACAAAGAGGGACACTTTTATTTTAGGAGTGTGAGTGGGCGTGTGGCCAAGGTTGGGCTGTTCTGAGAAATTTTAGACTTGCTAATATTAATTCATACAACTAAAATGTAATTTAGAACATAAACAATTTATTTTATTTACACAGACAGATTTCTAAAAACATTTATTGTAGTTTAAGACATTACTGTGAGTATTATTGACGTGGACACCAAGAAAATGGCGCTCATAGAAAAAAAGGACATTGGGATAAAACCAAGGAATTTAGGACCTAAATATGGACCCTTGAAACAAGGTATGTGAATGGGAGTACTTATGAATGATCCTTTTTGTTAACATGAAACCCCATTCTAGTACACAGATCGGCAAAAATGGTATAAAAAAAAGGAATAATATTTTTGGTTGCATCAGGAAGTTGTGTTTTTTTTTTCATTTTAATTATCTAGAAAGTCTTCTGATTGTGATTATAGGTTTCTATCAAAATTCTTCCACTGCATTATATGGCAGCTAGTACCCCTTGGCAATTTTGGAAACTATTTTTGTTTCTATAGCCCAAACTAGTTAATTGGGTGAAAACACGTTTTTTCTTTATTTATGACAACACAATCACTGTGCAGTTCAGTTGGCCTAAGGTATTATACAATGAAAAATTCACCAGGGACCAAGCTTTGTTATTACAGATAAATTATTACTGTTATTGCTAGGCACCTAATGTGTAAACAGCAGGGGTGTAATCAACATGTTGAAAAGATATGTTTGTGGTTGTTGTTGTATATTCTATAATTGACAATCGCTGCAGGGTGGCACTTACAAAGTGGATAATAACAAGTTAGCAGGAAGCAATGAAAATACAAATGCATGAAAAATACTTCATTTTATTTTAAGACAAATGCTGTATTCTGAGTTATGA